ATCAAGATTTATTGCAAAGCTATAAAATTGTTTCCATTTTTGTAGTTATGCATTTTTCTTCTTGAAGTTGTAACTAACATTGTATTTCCGTTTCGAAATCGGTGAAGAATTGACAACTGAAGGTAGTTATTGCATTTTTGCTATGTTTAATTTATTATTTCACCACAATAAAGCTTCTTTTTTTCTTTCATCCAAATATCCAAATATTTATTTTTTTCTTTCATCCAACCAAATATTTATTCTGCGTTACACAATGCAAACTTTTTTCTCGTTTTTTTTTGCACTTCCAATATTTGTGTCAACTTTAGCAATATTTATTTGTCATTGTTAGCTTATTTGGCATTACTGATAACAACGAAAAAGTTAAGGGTCATATGTTTAATACCTAAGCAGTACTTCAAGTTTTGTTCTTTGTAATTGATTGTGAATTTTGTCAGAAGGATCGTCATTTGAAAACGATAACTAACAAGAAAAAAAACGATCGATTGGAAGGGTGATGGGTTGCGTGAGAGATCGTCGGTTTTGTGGGTGCAAAAATACAAATACAAATAAATTTGCAGATTTGTTTTATGTACTGGCTTGGATATATTATGTCCTTGAATTACTATCCTTGAATTACTATCATTAACTGAAGCATACTTCCTGTTCATAATCAAGATTTCTTTGGGAAAGATTCCATATGAAGAAATTATCTTCGATGTTTACTATTTCCAGTAAAGTTCGAGGAATTACTATTCTTACGGACAATGAAAAAAAGTTATTCAAGTTGGTGAAAGTTTTATAATGAATGTAGTTTGAGGTTCATTTCATTCTTAAATATTTTGTGAAGTGCGTTACGAGATGATTTCTTTGTATTATAGTAACAGATAAGGTATTTCCTATCACTGCTGAAACTCGAATTGGTTTAATCATCTTACATGTCACGTGTTGAAAATTATTCTATTATTTTGATAGTCTAATGAGAAAGCTTCGTAGTAGTATCAAGATCCACCAAATTCTTGTCAGATTTATAAAGTATATTTTCTGCAATTGTAAAAAAAATACTGAAATATTTAATTTACTAGAAGTTTGAAAAAGCAAGTATTTAAAATAACAAGTTCAGAAGTAAGTTTGGTCAGTTTTTTATAAGACTTATATTATTAAGAATTATGGATATGGAATTTCTTGCTGATTTTCTCACTGCGGATTAGAATATTTAATAAAGGCCAGGTTCTGTTTATTACAGTTTCTTGTCTGTTTCAGCAAAGAAATCACTTTACCGGTCGTAATTGTACCGTCGAAGGTTATCAGTCGTCTAATTGGGTGTAAGGAAATAGCAGATAGAACGGTAGAACGATTTTGTAATAAAATTAAGGTACTTGTATAATAATTTGTTTCGAGATTGGTGACATTTGAAATTTGCAACACTTGACATCCATGACTATAAAAGTGGATCTCGTTTAAGTCAGTCAATTTGGATTATGTGGTAATTCATTATATATTCTGTGACTGTCAGGAATTTGGTCTGAATTCTTTAGAATTTCAGCCTGTCATAAATATTCCAAGACAAAGCGAAAAAGCTATTGTATTTAATCCCGAAAAGATGGACGGAAATACAAGAAATGTTGTTTTGAACACTATAGAAAACTTGACGGGTCTTACAGCCAAGTTTGATTCTTACAATATAACCTTGAATTATGACGACTGGTCTGTAAAATCATGTATTACTGCAATTTTACCGGAAGGACTCGAATTCGGGTATGCTGATTATATAGTATTAATTTGTTTAATTGAAATTTCATATTATGTTTAAAAACTTCCTAAAATTAAATTATCCTTAAAATCTAGAAAATAATTGCTGTAATCTTCAGCGGTTTCTCTCAAATCGGTCATATTGTCCATGTGAATTTGCGAGAAGAGCTACTTTTTTATAAAAAAGCTATTGGGAAAATACTTCTCGACAAAATCAGCAGTTGTAAGTACGTGTTTTCATTTTATTCAACGCTGGAAGTCCAGAATATCAGTTTGTATCATGACAGATAGATAACTGGATGGCTTTGATATATTCAGATTATGAGATTTTAAAAATTAAGATATCATACATATCTCTGGATTTTCCATATTTGTTTTCATTTGTTTTCTAACTTGAAAAAGCAATTTTTCTCTCAAATATTCTCGCCTTTGCAGGACAGTTGTTAATAAGTTGGATGCAATTGGACATAAATATCGTACATTTGAACTTGATTTGCTTGCTGGTGAGGAAAATTATAAGACTGAGGTGCATGAAGAAAAACTACGTTATCAGTTGGATTTTAGTGAGGTTATTTTCCAGTTTTTTTTTTTACATAATGAAAGTTAAAGTTTTTGTTACTGCTTTTATTTCTTTTTTGTTAATCGTTTCATACAAGTATTTGCATCAAAAATGACTAGAATACATTTTTTTTTTCAAGTCAATTATAGGTGTTTTATAACCCAAGATTAAGCACAGAACATAAGAGGATAGTGCGAAAAATTGGTAAGCGGTCAATTTTTTATGATTGCTGTGCTGGTATTGGACCTTTCGTTTTACCGGTAATAAGGAATGGTGTTCATCATGTTTTAGCAAATGACCTAAATCCGAATTGTATTGATTATCTCAAGCGAAATATGGAACTGAATCGTGTAGGTTTTACTCATCTTCATTGTAAATCATGATTTCTATTCCAGTCGTAGTTTTTTTACAGGAAATATTATCAAATTAAAAATTTCTGTTTTGCTATATTTTTTAAAACTTTGAAATCCATCTTGTCTCCATTTTTTCACTTTTGTTCTTTCATAATACGTACAGTCCATCTTTTTGTGAGTATTTCTTTTTCCAAAATTATTCAATGTAAGTTTTAGTTATCATTCGAGCGGCTGAAATTGTATAACATGGATGGAGCCATATTTATCAAGAATGTTATCGCAGATGATTTGACAAATGAAGCAAAAAATTACAATATCTGTAGTTCTTCAGGTTTTATATCAGTTATTATTCTTGTTTTTTTTTTTAAATTTTGTTGTGGAAGTCAAACTTTTTCAGCAAGAAATTTTGATTTATTTCTGTTCTCAAATTTCTAATTGTTTTTTTTTTTCTATTTTCTCTATTTTTAGATAACATTCCCACAGATGCACATGTAGTAATGAACTTACCAGGCATGTCATTAGACTTTCTTCCTCATTTTCGGGGTTGTCTACATGATAAACTCAATTTATCAGGTTAGTGAACAGTTCATGTGACTGTATGAGGGATTTTTTGGATTTTCTAGAAAGGAAGTGATCTTTTATCGTGTTATTATGTTTTACTACAATTTTGTTGTAGGCACTACCCTTCCATTTCCGTTGTTTGTGCATTGTCATTTCTTTGTAAAAGCACCGGGTGATTTGGAGGATAACTGGTACTTCAATGAAGCACAAAATTTGATACGCAAAAGTATTGGGTAAGCTTTGTTAGCAGTAAAAAATTTGTTAGGTTTACTCGAATTAGTTGAATTTCGCTTTCCAAAATCAGTGTTTTTTATTTATCTATTTATTTGAGATGCTAACAAAATTTATAAACAAGAGCTTCTTTTTCACATTTTTGGATAATTGCCTCTCAAATTTTATATTAATCCTCAGGAATGAATTTAGATCATTGTGTTAACTGTTTAGTTTTCAGTATCTCGGGGTTGAATTTCACTGAAGTACGTTTTGTTCGAAAAGTTGCTGGACGTAAGAATATGTTTTGTGTTACATTTCGACTTCCTGATGAATTTCTGTTCTCCTCTGATAACCAAAAACGTAAAGTCGATGGAGCCAACAGTGAAGAACTGGCGGAAGCAAAAAGATTCAGTGGTGACATCAGCAATGATGAACAACGAAACTATCCTCAGCAAATAGTTTGCGAAATACGAATTGATCAGTTAGAGCCTGAGCTAAAGAAAAACAAATCCAGTTAATGGAATTTTATCAGTAGTGTTTTTGATAGCTATTGCCAGTGATGAAGCAAAATATATTTTCAGACCTTAATTTTCTATACTTTTTTCTTGTTACAACTCGACCAAGTTTAATTTTTCAAACAGTTAGCTTTATAGGCATCTTAAAGTTTACCACTTTTCCATTACTACAATGTGTACACCTAATTATTCTCTGTTGAGTTATTCTCTTTTTTTGTATCTAAAAAAAAAAAAAAGATTATATTAAAATTGAGAAATTAACTTGTTTTTAATTCCTTACTTCTGACAGAGCTTTATCTTGATATGGAAATATAGAACGAATGTCAATTCGAGTTTCAATACTTTCTGTTCGTAGCATAGCAAAAGTCAATAGATAAAAGGAAATGAAAATTTGAGTTGGATAAGGAGATTATGAGATTAAGTCTAATTTCTCAGCTGATGTCGTACTCTTTTGATTTGATTTTTTTTTTTTTTTATGATGCTCATCACTTATTATTGTGTTAATTTTTGAAAATAGATTTAATTGTTTATTTTGGTATTAGTGATTTAATGTTGCCAGAACTGTATGCAAATTGGAAAATGCGCTTATATGCTGTTGATGAGCAATAACAATTGAGAAATGAAGTATTCAAGAAATTTGAGAAAGGTTGTGTAACCAATAAAATCATCAGCGGGACTATCCTAACTTGTCTATTTATTAGGGTTTGCAATGTAATGTATTCGCAATTGATAGAATTCAAATCCTAATTTGATTGTAGATGGTCAAGATTACATTAAATTCATGAACCCAGAATGAGAGTAAGAAACAGCTATTTGTCTAGTTTGAAGCATTTCATTTTACTTATGTTCCTTTGCATGCGTCATAACAACATTCAATGAAATGGATGGGAGTGGTATGTTCAAATCAAGTAAGGTATTGAAATTGAATGGAGCCTACTGTTTCTTTTCAAAGCTTACTTGGTAGTTGTATATGCATGCTTGTTATATTTGCAGTTGATTTATTAGTTATCCTTTTGTTCTGGTTGCTAATCATTTGTTTACTTCCTCCAGGTAACTGTTTGCATAATTATGGTGGATTATATTGCATTATCATACAAATTTTCATCCATATTCGGAATGACTATTTCATTGCGTTCACTGAGGTCCCGTATCACACAAGGTTCACTAATCAAAAGTCTTCACATCAAGAAATCTATCGCCGATAAGTTTTCCAACAGGTGATTTCATCAACCTTAACCAGTTTCATCATATAAGTGATTAGTTGAGACCTTCCGTGCAGGAAAAGAATTTGATGTACATTAAAAGTAATATATTAATGGATTAAAATGTAATATATTAATGCCATTGAAATAATTCAAAGTTCAATTGTTTTTAAATTTGAAGATAAGTCAGCTATTCGGCTGCAAACTAAAATTTAGATATAATTAAATCAAATCGTTTAAATTTATTGTAGGTTCCAGACTGATCGTGTGATGTATTTTGGTCCCGAATTAGCTTGCTTAGAATGGTTAATGGAATGTGGCTCTACTGAGGTATCACTCATTTATTTTTACTGCATCCTTTTGAAATAATAATGGGACATGGTATAATATGCAATATTTCCCCAAATATATGATAATATGACAATAATGTTCGTTTACGTCACATTATATCTTTTAGTTTTGTAATTTTTAGTTCATATTATTTATGTCATTCTCCCCTACTTTTTTTGACTTTATTTGAGACAAAAAGAACCGAAAAGTTGGCATTACTTGTGGAATATCTTTGTTTCGATTTAGAAATTAACATTATCTTACAGGTTATAATGAGTGATGGAACATCGATCACATGTAGATCAAACATGCGGCGCTATATTAGTGATTTTGGTTTCAATTTGAAAAATATCGTAAGATTTAAAATGTAATTCATATCAATTTTCGTCGAATCAAAATTACATTTTTAAAATTTTACAAATCTTTAGCCAATCGCCACGACTTCCTTCAAATGGAGTCCAGTGCTGCCAACAATTAGTATGAAAAAGCTTAATGCCATTTATGATATGCGGTGGGCTAAAAAACCGAATGTATATATTGTTAAGGTCAGTTATTAATGTATACATATATATAATTTTTGAGTTTAAAGTTCATCTGTTTGTTTTAACTCCCAAGCGAATTCATGAAATTGAAGCCTGTAATGTTTTCTATTAAAATGTAATTTTACAATTACGTGGAATTTTCATTCAGGTCGATGGGACTGATTCAGCTATTAGTGATTCTGGTTTTCAGTACTTCAAAGAATGCCGACAAATAGAAGTGTTGAAATTGAATTTTTGTGACTTCTTTACCGACAAAGCAATTGAACATCTTGTCTCGGGACGACCTTCACGAACTTTACGAAACATTGTTTGTTTTTGATCTTGTTTCTTCAATACAAAAGTCTTCTAAAATTTCTAATATTTTAATCTAAAGAGATAGCCGAGCTGTAATGCAAAATATGCACCGTTGAGTTAATGAATAGTTTTTTTTTTTTTTTTTTTTAAAGAGTTGTCATTTTGTTTTAGGAAATTGTTGCAAATCCTTACATCAGTGATTATTTCATGAAAGGGATTAAACGAATACGTGGATTACAGCGAGCGCATTTTTACTTTTTACCATGCGTAGCACAACAAACAGACGCATTACAAAGTTTGAAAGCTTCTTTGCCATGTTGTAGAGTTAGTTTCCCGGAAATAAAAGAAGTCGGTTACGGATATGGTTATAATGCTGAAGACAGTAATATATGGTAAGTAACAGCTTCCTGTGACTTGTTTAATCACATTCCACTTGGAAAATTAAGTGTATGTTGCATTATGCAAAAATATATGATACCTCTTCTCAGTTCCAATATGCCACATTTTTACCGTTCACTTTATAAGCAAATAATGAAGCTATCCGAAGCTAACATATAATACAAATCATTATTTCTCTTTGGTAAAATTTGTATGGTTTTCAGTATTCCTAAAAGCCATAAAACGGAGACGAGATAGAAGAAGAAAGAGGAAGACAATACCTTCAATTAGGCTTAAATTTTTATTACAGATGAATGTTTATCAGTTCATTACTTACAACAATTTCACCGAAACCTATTAAATGAAGAAATAAAATAAAAACTTCCTTAATAAAGATCATTTTCTGAACACATAAAAATAACTACTTATATTCGTTATAAAGCATAAAAATATGCTCTCAGTTAATCATTTGGCTTGAAATCTTATTGAAGATTTAAAAATTTTCCTCAAATATATTATATACAATGCGTAAATGTGGGATGGAATTTTACGTCATTTCAAATTCTACTATTTGTCAAACAATAATAAACAAATGTCGCATTGAAACGGACACAATATGATGTTTGTACTAGAATAATTCCGGAACAATTAATCGCAATGCATTCAGTTTGTGAGGATTAATTCATGGATTACTTTATGTGCATTTGCATATTTTATTAATGACCAATACCATTTATACGAACCAGAAGAGAATTCTTTTGTGTAGATAGTTTATCATGGCCATGACAAATATGACTAACTGGTTGAAATATAGGCTCTAAATTATGAGATTTGTTTGTCACTTCTCCGTGCTTGAATTTCTATCCAGTGTAGTGATTACTTTTCTACTGTTGTTACACTTATATATTAGATATCTTATATATCACTTACTGTTGCCCACTAACCCACGTGGGTCCCACGAATTTCACATCACGTAATCATCGATTCCGTTCAGCATCTGTTTATTTCGTCGAAATTTGTTCCTATTCTAGACTAATCGATATTTGTGTGGTTATGTTCTTCTACCTGCAAAGCGGGAAGTAAGTCATAGAAGGTTTGGGATTTTTGATCTGATCAGTTTCTGATATCGGTCACTGTTTGCTGCCAGTATCGCAAACATGCTCCCCTGGAGAACGGTGAGCTGAATTTTCCGCTCCCCTCTCCTCCTCCCTTCCCTCCCCCTCTCCTCTCCCACTTCTCCCTCCTCTCTCTCTCCCTCCTCTTTCTCCCCTCCCTCTTCTCTCCTGTCCTCTCCATCTCTCCTCTCCCACCCTTTCTCCCTCCTCTTCTCTCACTCCCTCCCCTTCCCCTTCCCCTCTCCCTCTTCTCTCCTCCTCTCCTCTTCATCCCTCCTATCTTCCTCTTTCTCCCTCCTCTTCTTCTTCCCCTCCTCGTCTCTCTCCTGTTCTCTCCATCTCTCCTTTCTCCTTCCTTCTCCCTTCCTTTCCTCTTCCCCTCTCCCTCTTCTCCCTCCCTCTTCTGCTCTTCTCCTCTCTCTCCTGTCCTCTCCATCTCTCCTCTCTCCCCCTTTCTCCCTCCTCTTCTCTCACTCCCTCCCCTTCCTCTTCCCCTCTCCCTCTTCTCTCCTCTCCTCTTCTCCTCTTCATCTCTCCTATCTTTCTCTTACTTCCTTCCCCTCCTCTTCCCCTCCCCGTCTCTCTCCTGTTCTCTCCATCTCTCCCTCTTTCTCCCTCCTCTTCCCCTCTCCCTCTTCTCTCCTCTTCTCCTCTTCATCTCTCCTATCTTTCTCTCACTTCCTCCCCTTCCTCTTCCCCTCCTCGTCTCTCTCCTGTTTTCTTCATCTCTCCCCCTCTCCCTCTTTCTCCCTCCTCTTCCTCTCCCTCTTCTCCCCTCTTCTCCTCTCCCTCTTCCCCTCCTGTTCTCTCCATCTCTCCCCTCTCCCTCCTTCTCCCTTCCCTTCCTCTTCCCCTCTCCCTCTTCTCCCCTCCCTCTTCTCCTCTCCTGCCCTCTCTACCTCTCCCCTCCCTCTCCTGCCCTTCTCCTCTCTCTCCTGTCCTCTCCACCTCTCCCCTCTCCTCCTTTCTCTCTCCTCTTCTCTCACTCCCTCCTCTTCCATTAAACAATTATGTACATGCTACAGTGTCACCTTGTACTGTGATGTCCACAACTTCCAGCCCTTCACCAGCAACGATTCCATTTCCTCTTGGCTCTTTTATTGTACCACCTCCAAGATCCTTAATTGTGCCACCACCAAATTCCTTAAATATACCTCCACCTAATGTTATGGACTGTCCACCGCCTAGCAATTTTTCTCTAACCACAAGCAGTTTCGCTTCGGCTACTCCTTTAGTTTCATGTACATTTTCTTCACCGTCTCCATCAAGCTCTAATTCTACTACAGTAGCTTCAGCTACTGGTTTAGTTTCCAGAAAGCCGTTAACAAATGGTGGTAACAGCAACAGTATTGTTGATCCAGCAAAAGTTAATGGTGATTTACGCCATGAACCCAGAAAGCAGTTCGAAAATTATGGTGACACGTTGGATAGCCGTGGAGATCGCAGGTCATTTGGTGGATTTTGTGGAAGCGTTAGTCGTGCATTAGCATTGATCGTGGACGTTTGCGGGATCCACGTGGACGTAATCGAGATCGTGAACGCAATGGTAATCGAGGATTACAACAACAACAGCTTCATAATAATGGTGGTAGGCGTTATTGTAGCGATAATCGTAATCGGAGATAAACGTGTTTTATTTTCTTTTATATTTTGAAACATTTAAAAATGTGAGAACTTCGACCAAAAATTGGAATCTTTAACTGATTTAAAGCGGTTGTAATTTTGCAGTGTATTTATTCTTCCTGATATGTTTTGAGCAATTCAGATGAGTTCATCGTTTTGTATTTGTTTGAATGTAAAAGTTATTTGGTTCTTGATTCCAGAGAATTCTAGAGCATTATTAGTTATCTGTATATTTTTTATTTTTCGGTGTCTGTGCTTTTCTTAATTCGTCTAGTGGAATTTACGTTATTTTGATTTGTTACTTTAACTTTGAATAGTGTATAAGCCACTGTATTATTTAATCTGAGAATCCATTTCCTCTTTCAAGATATTAATCGCTTTTTCTTGTTCCACTCTTATGTTGTACTCGAATCTTCTCATGGCAACACAGGAATTTGCTGTCATGAGGTAAGACTATGCTGTTGGTAAATACTTTAGCACAAATGGATCAAATTACAAGAAAGCGGAATTTGTATGGCGGAATATTGTACATAAAAGCATTTATTATAAGATATAGTACGTGTGAGGTGTAGGTCAGAATTTGTTGATAACTGATAATAAACAGCATGCATAGTTTTCATTTTTTTTTCTCGCATTTGGGATTAGATTGATCTGCCTCTTATTTTTTAAAGGAGTTGAACCGATGTATCACGTATATAGGCACATGAATATTTTGTATCTCATTCTAATCATGGATGACAGATGAATTCAAGATTCAGTAATTGGTAGAAAGAAAGCTGCAGCATTATGCTCATTTTTCTGTTCATATCTACGTTTCTTGTAACGTTATTAATGTGAAATAATTCGTGTTATTTAGAAATATTGTAAGAACATTCAGTTTTCTCGCTCTTCTTTATATGCTGAAGAAATTACTTGTCTTTATTCACTTTCCATTCCTGATGTCTTCTTAATACTGGATGGGTTGTTAGTGGCTGCTGCTATTGTTTATAGAGTGTTTTGTCGTCATTAAATCTCATTCGTTCTATTTTAACTACTTTCCTGGCTTGTTAGGGAGAAGTTGAAGTTAGTGAGAGGGTAGAGCACATGCAGCTTCAGAAAAAACCTCACTCGGATATGGGGGAGAAAGATATTCTGTCAGTTTGCAACAAACGCTTTCATAACCAATTTTTTTTTTCAAGGTCCACCTTTCACTGACAGAAACTCAACTTTTTGAGGATTGGTTCGATGGAAAAATTAATAAGGACTACAAAACATGAACAGGAAATGGAGAGCTCTCGAAGTTTGCTTACAGAGATCTAAAATTTGATTGCTGGCAAATTGCACTCTTCGGTGGGTTTTGTGCTACAAAAAATGAGAATTTTAAATTGGCGCTGCGCTTTGCCAAGTTGGCACTATACCAGGAAGGAGGTTACCATCATTTCTTGAAGTTGATATATCGTTGCTTTCTGAATGGTTCCGGTTTTCTTTGCAGGTTTTGCAAGAGTTTTATTTCAGGTTTCGATTTGGGGAAGTCTATCACACGAATCCGTCTTCACATAAATACATCCTTCACATTGGTAAGACTGAATACTTGTTGAAGGCGGAAAAGTAAGGGATGAAATGAGGACAATCTTCAGCCTTCTGCATTTGGCCTGTTTTGTATATTCTAGAGATAGGTGCAAGTATTTTTATACAGGAACGATGTCCTCATGTAATTTAATTCCTCTCATCATTACCATCTACTGTTTTAATTCAGTGGTTGCATTAGTTGTTTGTGCGAGTTCCTCATAATTTTTATTTATTGGGAGAAATGCCTAATACATCCATTTGGAGGAGAGTGTCTGTTTTAATTCAGTGTTTTATTGTGAAAAAATAAAAACATAAATTGTTGACATAGTTAAGAAAGAGAAAGCAACATATTCACTTAACTGATGAGGTACTTGGAGAGATCACTTTTTATTACTCTGTTAGTCTTTATTATTCATTTCATGCCAGTAATATGATCTAACTTCAAAGTGCTCACAGATGTAGGGATTTCGAAGTTGGTTTATGTTATCTTAAAAAACTTTTGTTCCTGGTAGTCGTGATTGGTACAACCCTTCGTGATATTAGTTAGCAAAGTTTATTTTTGTTTATGTAGATGTAACGGTTCTGAAGAGACTAAACGATTAAAAATCTGATTTTTTCATTTACAGCAGACTGTCAGAATGGTTTGGCCGTTTAATTCAACAAAGCCTCCGCTTTCTTCATCGCCTAACTCTTCGCATTCAGAGACGCAGTCAACTTCATTGCCTGATTTAGCAGTGATTGATTCAGCAGTATCTGACTTAAGTGACGCTTTGGATTCTAGTAGAGATAGCACAAATATGATCAGTTTAGATAGATCTCCTATATTTGCGTTAGATCAGTTGAAGCAAGCTGGCGTACCATTTGAGAAACAGCTATCGCCATACTTACAGATGGATCCTACCGTTTTCCGGGAATCTACTCCTCAGTAAGTTGTAAGACATTAAATACGCTTTGTTTCCATTTTTCTTCTTATTTATTTATTTTCGTTTTCGAAAGTGAATTTTAGTTGTTAAGATCTAAAGGATTTAACAGTTTTATTTCGATAAATTTCCCTCTAATAATTTTATTTCGATATCAAATCCTTAAACTTAACTTTCATTTAAGTGGAAAAACTGTAAGAAAATGATGTGAAACTCTTTTGTTAACAAAACGCTACTTAAGTGCTATAACACGTGTATTTTCATGTATATTGTTCCTGGTGAATCGAAAGGAGAATTAGAATTTGCAATGGGACGGATTGGATGGGCTGTTTTGGGCGGCTATGCATTGGGCAGTGTGCGCGGTATTCTGCCAGAATTGCGGAATCCTAATACGAGGCAGTTGGTGAGGACTGGTTTCGCTTTTTTTTTTGTAGTAAGTACACTCGGAATTTTGGGTTGATCCATATAATCTCTAATTTTCTCTTTCTCTTTTCCTTTTTTTTTTTTTTTTTTCTTAAACTAAAGTGCGAAAGATCATCTTAACGGTTGATCTTCCAGAATCTTTTGAACTACAAATATTCGCTCGAAATTTTATATTTCATGTTTTAGCCTCTTAAACCGTTTATGACGCGTTTGATGAATTCCTCAGTGAAACACGGCAGTGGTTTTGCTCATCCTGCTGGTTCTATCGTATTCATATTCTCTCTTGCTGATATGATTTTTGGAAAATTACGTGCGAAAGATGACCTTAATGCTGTTGGTAAGACTTTATTAATCAGTAAGTACGAAATGTTGGTAACTCTAGTATGAATTTTCTTGCTTACAATAAAATTTGAATTGTGCTCTTTTTAGCTGCTGGTGCAGTTACTGGAGGGCTGTTTCGATGTGCACGTGGTTTACACGCTTCAATGGTTGGAGCGGGTATTGGGGTATTTGCTGCTTTTATTTGGTTGCTGAGTGATCAAGATAGCCGAAATAGATTATGGGAAGTGCGAAAGCACTTGACCGGCAAACAAGATTATAGTTATTGATTTGAATTCCAATTTAGTGAAGTGTTGATCAAAGTTTAATATTCTTCCGGACCTAAAATTTCTTTAGTATGTGGATAGTTAAAAGTTTCCGATTATTACTCCAGTTTTTTTTGTAAAGTAGTTTTATTTTTTGAAATGAAATAAATTATTTTGTGCATGGTCAGTTTTTTGTTGTATTATTTTTCCATGAATGATGTTTTTAGTAGGACAAGTAGTCAGTCATTCTTCTTTCGTATTAGAATGGTAGGATATAATGTTTTCATAGGATAAGATGTGATTAAGAGGTTTCATATGTCGTACTGAATGAGAAAGATGTGTCATGATACGTGGGGTGTTTGAATCTTGTAGCTTAAAGTCAAATTAGACTTTCGTATGCTCAAAAGGAAATGAATAAATTGACGGAGAGCTTAAAAAATTTCAATGAACCGATTTAAATGAGTGCGAAAGAGCAACCAAACCATAACTTACTCGTACAAAAAACTAAGACAAAGATTTTAAAACCTTATATAGTGGACAATGACTTACAACAAGCGCATGATTGCATTGAGTAAAAAACTATCAGATAATCTTTATCTTTATATAGTAAGAGATGGGTTTTGATATTGTCATTTCCTTACAAGAATGACTATTAGATAAGAAAACCTTTACAATATTTCGACATTGCAGGAAAATTTGTTGGAATAAAGGAATACTTTAGCATATTAAAAAATGGACATAACAGCTGAAAATTTCCAGAAAAGCAGATAAACTCAGCTATAACAGGAAGGTGAGTGTTAGAATAATTACTTGCATGAGATGCAATTTGAAACACTTGTATTTCTTTAATGAATGTTCAATTAAGACAAATTTTAATATTATGGATTAATATAATTATATTCGATATATATTATAATTTATTTGGAGGTTCGCGAGACTTATTTGTCACTTTCGCGACAACGTGCGTTTGGTCTAATTTAAAGCAAACTGTGATTGTAAAATGAGGATTTGCTTATATAAGATAAATGTTACTATTATATTCTCATGTTTTCAAAAGAAAAACTGAAAATAAATAATTGAACATACTCCCGCTGAATCAACTTTATCTGCATATTCCCATGTTTTTCCAATTGTGGTCACGTAGAAATTGATACTGTACTTGCGTGAAATATCACTGGAAAAAAAATGATTTTGTTACTAATAATGACAAAAGGCATCAATCAGTATTCATTTCTCTGATAATTATAATCAAAAACATGTCGTAAGATGAATGTTTATCAGTTCATTACTTCAGCAATTTCACCGAAACCTATTTTACTAATAGTAAATGAAGAAATAAAATAAAAACTTCCATAATAAAGATCATTTTTTGAACACATAAAAATAACAACTTATATTCGTTACAAAGCATAAAAATATGCTCTCAGTTGATCATTTGGCTATTGTCAGTTAATCATTTGGCTTGAAATCTCATTGAAGATTTAAAAATTTTCCTCAAATATATTATATACGATGCGTAAATGTGGGATGGAATTTTACGTCATTTCAAATTCTACTATTTGTCAAACAATAATAAACAAATGTCGCATTGAAACGGACACAATATGATGTTTGTACTAGAATAATTCCGGAACAATTAATCGCAATGCATTCAGTTTGTGAGGATTAATTCATGGATTACTTTATGTGCATTTGCATATTTTATTAATGACCAATACCATTTATACGAACCAGAAGAGAATTCTTTTGTGTAGATAGTTTATCATGGCCATGACAAATATGACTAACTGGTTGAAATATAGGCTCTAAATTATGAGATTTGTTTGTCACTTCTCCGTGCTTGAATTTCTATCCAGTGTAGTGATTACTTTTCTACTGTTGTTACACTTATATATTAGATATCTTATATATCACTTACTGTTGCCCACTAACCCACGTGGGTCCCACGAATTTCACATCACGTAATCATCGATTCCGTTCAGCATCTGTTTATTTCGTCGAAATTTGTTCCTATTCTAGACTAATCGATATTTGTGTGGTTATGTTCTTCTACCTACAAAGCGGGAAGTAAGTCATAGAAGGTTCGGGATTTTTGATCTGACCAGTTTTTTGATATCGGTCACTGTTTGCTGTCAGTATTGCAAACATGCTCCCCTGGAGAACGGTGAGCTGAATTTTCCGCTCCCCTCTCCTCTCCCACTTCTCCCTCCTTTCTCTCTCCCTCCTCTTTCTCCCCTCCCTCCTCTCTCCTCTTCTCCTGTTCTCTACCCATCCCCCTCCCTCTTCTCCTCTCCTGTCCTCTCCATCTCTCCTCTTTCCCTCTTTCTCCCTCCTTCCTCTTCTCCTCCTCTCCTCACTCCCCCTTCTCCTCTGTCTCCTGTCCTCTCCATCACTCCTCTCTCCCTCTTTCTCCCTCCTTACTCTTTCCCTTCTCTCCTCCCTCTCCCTTCTCCCCTCTCTTCCGTCCTCTCCATCTCTCCTCTCTTCCTTTTTCTCCCTCCTCTTCTCTAACTCCCTCCTGTCCCCTCCATCTCTCCCCTCTCCCTCTTTCTTCCTCCTTCCTTTTCCCCTCCTCTTCTCCCTTCTCCTTCTCCTCTCTCTCTTGTTCTCGCCATCTCCCCCTCTCCCTCTTTCTCTCTCCTTACTCATCCCCTCTCCCTTCTCCTCTTTCTCCTGTCCTCTCCATCTCTCCTCTCTCCCTCTCTCTCCTCTTCCTCCTCTCTCCCGTCTCCCTCCTCTTCCTTGCCTCTCTCCTCCTCTCCTCTCCTGTCCTCTCCATCTCTCCTCTTTCCCTCTTTCTCCCTCCTTCCTCTTCTCCTCCTCTCCTCACTCCCCCTTCTCCTCTTTCTCCTGTCCTCTCCATCTCTCCTCTCTCCCTCTCTCTCCTCTTCCTCCTCTCTCCCGTCTCCCTCCTCTTCCTTGCCTCTCTCCTCCTCTCCTCTCCTGTCCTCTCCATCTCTCCTCTTTCCCTCTTTCTCCCTCCTTCCTCTTCTCCTCCTCTCCTCACTCCCCCTTCTCCCCTGTCTCCTGTCCTCTCCATCTCTCCTCTCTCCCTCTTTCTCCCTCCTTACTCTTTCCCTTCTCTCCTCCCTCTCCCTTCTCCCCTCTCTTCCGTCCTCTCCATTTCTCCTCTCTCCCTCTTTCTCCCTCCTTACTCTTTCCCTCCTCTCCTCCCTTTCCCTTCTCCTCTCTCTCTCGTCCTCTCCATCTCTTCTCTCTCCCTCTCTCTTTCTCTCCTCTTCCTCCTCCCTCTCCTCTTCTCCTCTACTATCCTCCCTCCCCCTTCTCCTCTCTCTCCTGTTCTCTCCATCTCTCCTCTCTCCCTCTTCTTCCCTGCCTCTCTCCTCTTCTTCTCTCCTGTCCCCCCCATCTCCTCTCTCTCTCCTCTTCTCTCACTCTTTCCTCTTCCTCTTCCCCTCTCTTTCTTCTCCTCTCTCCCTCTTTCTCCCTCCTTACTCTTTCCCTCCTCTCCTCCCTCTCCCTTCTCCCCTCTCTTCCGTCCTCCCCATTTCTCCTCTCTTCCTTTTTCTCCCTCCTCTTCTCTAACTCCCTCCTGTCCTCTCTATCCCTCCCCTTCCTCTTCTCCTCTCCCTCTTCTTCCCTTCCTCCCTCTTGTCCTCTCTTCTTCCTTTTCCTCTTCTTTTCTCTCTCCTGTCCTCTCTGTCCCTCCTTTCCCTCTTCTCTCCTTCCTCCCTCCTATCCCCTCTTTCTCCTTTTCCTCTTCTCCTCTCTCTTTCCTGTCCTCTCTACCCCATCTCTCCCGCCTCTCCCTCTTCTCCCCTTCCTCCCTCCTGTCCTCTCTCCGTCCTACGTCCCTTCCTCTCTCACCTCTTCTCTGTCCCCTCTATCTCTGCCCCTTCCTCCTCTTTCTCCCTCTTTCCCTTCTCTCCCTCCTCTCTTCTCCACTCTCTCTCCTGGAAGTGGTGATGAAAACAACGACGAGCAAATAATTTTATATAGGTGTTGAAGATGATGGGTTTCTTTTTGTAATTTTGAGTTGTAATGAATTTTTGCAACTTTATTCTTGAGCTAATAGTTAGTTCTCTTCTCAATGAATCATAAGCAGATGTATTACAATGGTCTTTTCGTTCGATCAACTATGTTGGCTTCATTTCAATCTGATCTTCATGTTTTTGTGCAATTCGTGATCATATAGAATCTGTAGAAAAAACTCTTCAAGGTTATTTATTTCAGAAACAGTGTAGCAAATGGTGATAAAAGACAGCAGAAATCGGGAAATCTGGATCGTTTGGATGCTTTATATTGCCACTGGGAAAGTCTGAATCTAAATTTTGAAAAACAAGCGGAAAATTTCGAAAAACGGTTGAAAGAGGAAAGGGATCGAACAGATGTCGAAATGCGAAAAGTGGCAGTTACGTAAGTATTACTATTTCAAATCATTCATACTGAAATTTCTATTTCTCTCTCTCTCTCCTTGTCTTTCCCTCTCCCCTAGTAATCCATAGTTCAAAAATCTCTTTTAAATAATTCATGCATATTTATTAATTCTTCGCTGCGATCAGTTACTGAAAATGATTATTATGATTAATTATTTCTATAAATTGAAGATGAACGGGTTGTCAGCTCGCTTATTTCAATTTTTTTTTTTTTTTTCACATCGAAGCATTAAATTTTTGAACCAATTAAGTGATGAAATGGTTCTCACTATATGCTACAGAATAGTGGAATCACTTATTGCTCTTTTGGCGATATAGTTGACGATTATGCATTAGATGGGATCATTTTTGAAGAAATTGTTTCCGTTAATTTTCCAAAAATTGGCGATATAAGGAAGTGAAAAGAGCTTCGCTGGTCAAAAAGTTGTTAGACTGTAAATGTGTAATACTAGGTGTAATTTCATCATTTTAATTAAGATTGTTTAACTTATTAATGTTGCTGTTATTAATATTATTGTTGATTTTATAACTAGTTTTATTATTGTCTTCATTACTGTCATTATTACCATTACGATTTTACTATTTTTCTCATTACTACTAATATGATAACACTGTTTCCAAAGTACT